TCCTGGCTCGCTTCGGCCGAGCAACCCGGGCGCCGCTGCCCGCCCCGGGACGCCCTCCAGAAGGCCACCTGATAGGGAAACGTGTCCCCGCCTGCCTGAGGAGAGCAGCTGCCTCCCAGGAACAGGGGGAGCCTCTGCTAATGCCATCGCTGTCGTTTTAGAAACCATCCCCTATTTAGAACCTCAGAAATGCTACTACAGGATTACTTTTTTTGTTGTTTTTAAATTATTATTACAAAAATAGAAACGTTCCTTTCGGTAGGAACATTTGTAACCCAGCACTACTGATACATGTAGAAACCAGGCAGGAACTCGTTACAGAGGAAATTTCTCTGATTGTGGAGACAAATCACTCGGATATTACTTCAGTCAAACTAACGTGGTATTATTTGCAAGGCTATTCTACAAAACATTAGAAGTCAGGCTGTGATGCTTTTATTCAGACTAGAGAATATCTCGCTGCACCGCTAAGCTGAACTGACTTCATCAAGATTCAGGATGTTTGTCTGGTACAGTCTGGGTTTGTCTTATGGACAAAGAGATTCCTGTTCAGTTTTGCTCCTTTGCTCTAATTACCCATGGTTTCTCTTTATTCCTTGGCATCTTTTTCTCTTTCTTCCATGCATTTCTAGCAAGGGCAGACACTATCCTTGTCTAAACCCATGAAGGAACCTGCACCCTGGACTTAGCCACATCCTTCTGCTACCCCAACGTTGCACAGCTAGCTCTTCCTCCATTTTTCCCACAGCATGGGATTCTGCTCGCTTGTTTCCCTAATTTCCAATTCTGCATGATTTCTTTGTTCGCAGCCCCATTCCTTGATGCTTCTGTACCCTAACTTGTGGTTCTTTGTAATGCAAGCCAGATCCTATGAGACAGATACCATAAAATTACAGTGAAGCGAGTAGTATGTGTGCCAGACTACGCTGCTTACCCTGGATACTGCATTGTCATATTTCAGGGAAAGACAAAGATATGACTCCCACCAGGCCATCCATGATAGCCTACCACCTGCCCTCCCCCAAAACAAACAAACCAACCAACCCACCCAAAAAAACCCAAACCAAAACCAACCAAAAACCCCAAAAGAACACATTTCATCTAAATTCTCCAAGTCAGAGCAAGAGAGAACTCACTGCACCATTCTTTCCAGAAGGGTACACTAGTAGGAATTGTGATCTAAATTGTTCAGCATATGCCAGTGGTGGCAGAATTACAAACAAGGCAAAACGAAAAGAACTTCATAGCACGCACAAAGTACGGTCACAACTTGTTTATTTCTGGGCAACCAAGACAAGCTCCCTGTTCTGAAGGTTCAGTAACCTTTAGAAAGTATCTTTCCTTAGTGGTGCAATTCAGTGGATTATGCCAAATTAACTAGTCTCAGGGATCTTTCTATATTTCCATCTTTATGCTGTCGCTAATCTTCACTGATCCATTGGGCAGGTCTCATCACTTCTCTGTGCCTCAGTCCCTTCCCAGCACCTTTCCTCCCCATGATCATTTCTTCATCTGTGAACTCTACTCAGAGCCACAGATAAAAAACGTGACCACAAGATGGAGGTGGTATTACAGAGAAGAATCCCAAATATCCCTATGATCACAATACAAAGATGAGAACAAATTGGCCTGGGTTTGTGTTACCAGCTGTCCAGAGCTGGGAGCATCTGTTCTGGAGTTGTAGAGAAGATGGCATTACAGGATTGTGTCCATGACCAGTGCCATCATAAGGTAAATACATAATTGTTTCCACAGGCTATGTTGAAACACAGACCCTTCCTGAATATGCCACAAGCTTTCTGTTGTGTTCTTTTCTCCCTTCTAACAAGAAAATTTCTGTTTAAATACTAAACATTGATTCAACTCTCCCTCAATAAACAAACAGGATGATATATACATGTATATCTATTTCATGCACTTTCTTATTCAATCCCTTTTTGACTGGGTACTGAGACACAGAAATACTGGGGAGGATTTTCCTTTTTTCTCTTGATAGAAGTATAAGCACAAAACCTTATGTAATTCGATGGATGTTCAGCCAAAGCAAATTTCATTGATCTGTTCTTTTTTAAGAATTCCACTCACTCAGAGTCATTACCAGAGGCCAAAGGTAACACATGAATAAAGGGAAAAATTCATCTCGCTGATGCAAGTATTGTCGGTTTAGCAATGAAATTGCTTTACAATCATTTCTGATGCTGGGGGAGAAAAGGTTGTCAGCAGTCCCCAAAGCTGGATTTGATGTTTCTGCCATAGCCCATCACTTGCGTGGCTGGTGAAGAACCAGATGATTACCCGAGTGCATGGATTGAAGTCAGAGCATCCACGGATCCCATTGCTTTGTTAAAAGCGACAGGAAGAACTTATATCTTTGCGCTCTTTCCACTTAGAACTGTGTTAAAGACAAGGAAGGAAAAAAATCCCTCATATTAATTTAGCTGAAGACAAATGATAGTTCTGGTCAATCAGATGAAATATCAGCCCCAGACACAGCCAGTTTCTACACACGCAGTCTAAGCTAGTCATACAGCTCCCAACTTCACGTGTTTATCTGAAACCAAAACCACAACAGAATGTGAGAAGCCTCCTGTACGAGAGCCACACAAGAGGCAGTAGGCACCCTGGCCTTGGGCTCTTCCCAGAAGAAAAATCTTATGGTTCCTGGATAATTTGTGTTGTCAAATCCAGCTCTTCCATGTGGCCTCAAAGCCCGGTCCAGGAGATCTCTCCCCCTCCACCCCTCCTTTCCCCAAGCCATCTTGCGATCTATCAGTTGTAGGAAACTACCTACCTCCTTTACAACCCCCCTTCACCCTGGGCCGGGTGAGGAAGTTACATTTCTGATATTACACACGTTACTTGTGAATGAAATTTACCTTTTCGTGCCCCTTTAAACATCTAGCAAATTCACATCCTTTTGCCTCACCCTGAAGAACAACAGATACAGCGACGGGCAAGTGTTCACTCTGTCCCAAGAGAAGAAAAGGTGGCTCACCTCTGTGAGAATATGGCCAACAGAACATAAAAAAAGATTTAAAAAAATTCCAGACTTAAGTGGAGGAACAGAATGAATCAAGCGACTCCTGCAGGTTACTAATGTAATCACAGGGCTGCCAGAGAGATTTTCTCGACCTTGAATGGGAGGGAGGTCCTCACCCCAGGACACAGTTCCTCTTCTCCTCAGGCTGCTTCCTGGGAGGGAGGGTCGATACTACTATTAAACGGAGGGTCAGAGGTACCACAATGATGCTCTTTCCCCCAAAAATCACCATTCACACATTTCACTTATTAAAGAATAAAGACGAAAATGCTTTTCTTTTAAAGCCAAAATATAAAGAGGATATTCCATAAGTGCAACTAAAAAAAAAAAAAAATATTTAAGATACTACTGACACAGTTGCAATTAACTCCTGAATCAGGAAGAGAATTGTTGTACAAACGTATTTGTTTGTGTCCAGAATTCATGAAAACAGAACCAAAGTTTTCAAGTGTTAGTTTGGGTAGCTAATAATTTTTGTCTCCTTAAAACAGATTTAACCTCAAAACGTTGAGTATTCAGCTACGTCTGAGGCTTATAGCCAACTAAAGGTATTGTTTGAGATATCTGCTAGTCTGGCAGCTGAACAAATTTTCTTTATTACAAATCTAAAAACCCATGAGTCTGGATACATTCACCTAGAAATTGATATATTGTTAGAGGACTTGCTCTTTCACTAAGACACCACAAGCTCTTCAACAGGAACAACGCAGAGTTTTCTCAATCTCTTTCATGCTATATCATACTTACAACACTAACACTTTTTTTTTTTTTAAAAACAGGATGAAGACATGTACATAAGTAGATAACTACTAGTATTAGGTCTTGTGCTCAAATTCAGCATTCCAGACAAAACTTTGCATTTTTGAAATATTTATTAACTCTCTGAAGAAGCAGCACATTTGTGAGAGACTTACTGCCAACACAACTGATCCCACTGGTCTTAAAACCAATTTGTCTACAAGATCCCAGGAGATTTTGCCATCTGTTTCAAATGAGACTAAAGATTTGTTTCTTGCATGGGGTAAGGGTTATTGGAATATTCGACTTTGTCAGCATAGTGAATGAAGCTAAAGGAATACTTCTGCCAAAACAGAAAAAGAATTTAAGCTGGAAATGTGAAAGTTCTTTTTTTAAAAATATCTGCACCTTAAAAGCACTAGCTTCATAGAATTTGAAATTAGAGATTTTCCACAAGTAAAATTCTCTGTCAGGTTCTTAGAATTAAAATTGTTTACCAATTTTTACTTAAGGTAGCCTGTCCAAGACGCATCCAGTGGGTATCTGAGGCTTGATATGAAGCAAACCTTTCAATGAGAGTATATAAAAGAAATCGTTTTGTAATTATTAGTAGTCCGCAGGACTTGTTTCTACTAGCTACCAACAAAGGCTGAAAGGGATGTTTAGAAACTTAAAAACAAGGATATAGCAGAACTTTAGTTAAAAAAAAAAAGGTATGTATCATTTATAATGTAACTATTGCTTTTCTTCTCTGAGGCTCAGAATGCCTCTGTCTTCCCTCAAGGCCAGCAAAGAGCCTCCCCCCTTTCCATCTACATGCTAGTTTTAGACAGATCACAACAAAACCAGTATTTTGATACA